ACACACCACACACCACACACCACACACCACACAACACAACACAACACAACACGACACAACACGACACACCACACCACACCACACCACACCACACCACACCACACCACACCACACCACACCACACCACACCACACCACACCACACCACACCACACCACACCACACCACACCACACCACACACACACAGGCAAACAACACAAACATCCCGCACGTGCACACCTCCGCGCACACACACACACAACCACACTGTCACACGCAACAAACAACCACATGCTCAACAAATAGACCAACTTACCCAACTAAACTAGCAAGAAGAGCACACATAAAGAGTAACGTCAAGAAAACCAAGAGCAGATAAGCACGTACCGACTGTTACGAACACATGTGTATGTACATACTTGAACACAGGACATGATTCACATAATGCAATACGCCAACAACAAGCCTCTACTAGGCGTTTGGACACCATGGCAAAACAAGTGAATCATGAGAGGATATCACGTAAAATGTCTGTGCCAACAATGGGGCTGTGTCTTGTTGTGTCGTGCCTGAAGGCTCGGGTCCAAAGCACATGAGACATTGGCCGCCCGGAAGACTGGAGACATCTCGTGCTGGCCCGGGGCCACCTGACGGGATGTTGCGACGCTCCCAAAGGGACCCCCCATGTTCCAAGGGTCGAAAAGGGCCGAAACGGCCCAATTGGGCCTTTCTCTCGGGGCAGGGTTGGATGCGGCCAAAACCGAATTCTGACCCACAAATTTGGGAAGCGCCGAGTCGCGTCACAGCTTCCTGTGAGAAGCACGCCTTCACAAGAAGAGGTCCACTCTGTATTTCTGTCGGCTACCGGACCAATATGCCATCAAACAAGTGCTTACTTGGGGTCTTGTCATTCGTCATCAACCCTCAAAACAAGACATGCTGAACCGTTAAAACAAATCCCCATTCTTAAAGGACCCACACCGCATGCTCATGGTGAGTGACACGCACTTCTGGCAGGTGTATGAAACAAGTGGGGTAGGCCATGTTGGTTCACCAGCTGGCATGAAGTATTCCATACAGTGGGAAGCTGTTGGTGGATGGTCGCTTTACCCCCGAGTTGGATCTATGACAGGCCAGCATCTGCAGCCCTCTGGAAGGAACCTTCACTTCTGATGTCGCAACCCCGCTGGAACGTGACGTCGTTTAACAAAAAAACAAGCCAGAAATATCGTACCCTGAACATATTGCTCACCTTCACTCCTTCAAAAAAAGCAGTGTAAAGGAGGCCGAGACGCCCGCTGCTCGCTTTCAGCACCCTTCAAGCACCCTAGACCTGCCCTGTCCATGTTGCAACAGCCCCACATTCAGGATTGGAAGCCAAAGCACTGTCACAACAGTCTCAGATTGAAGAATGGCAGCAAACGCGCTGCAAATTGCTTGGATGTAATGGACGGTCCCCAGCTGCTCTTGCACCTGGCTGCTGTCTCCGCCGCGTTCTGGATCACTCCAGGTCACAACACAACAGCCCCACATTCAAGAACGGCAGCAAAAGCACTGTCACTTGCTTGGATGCGCTGAACGCTCTTGCACCTTGCTGCCGTCTGGATCACCCCAGGTCACAACATGAAGCAAGAGTGGCCGCAAGAGCACTCAGTTGCTTGGATGCGATGGATGTCCCTCAGCTGCTGGCGGCAGTCTCTGCCGCGTTTTCCATTTCACCACCTCACTCCGTGGCCATTCACAGCAAACGCTTGATATTCGTGGCAGCCAGTTTGCCAAGCTGCATATCCACTGAGCAAGTGAACATCCACCTTCATGCCGCAAGAAGGTTCTTCTGGGTGTTCAAGTTGCTCAAACACAAACCGAAGACACAAAACATGTGAATTGGGACGGACACGTTTCTGATTTGAGTGGGATTCCCAATGATTAAGGGGACACACGTTTGCAAATACAAATTTGATGGGTCTTGAGCCTCCAATCTGTGAGGATCCTCCCAGCTATCCATGCGGCAGTTCGAATACCATTGAAACAATCAGATTCGAGCCTTTGCTCAGAATCGCGTGCATCATGCCACTCTCAGCCCGTAACTATCTCTTTGGATACACCGATACACCTAATTACATGCGTTTGAGAACCTCCTGGCACTGAGCAAGGTCGCCATGCCAAGTCAGGGCTGTCAGCACTAGATGTTTAATTCACTATAAGTGTTGATAACTGACATACTTATCATGGATGGTATTCTTTAATATTTGTTATTTACTGTAGTAAATCGTTGTATTTCACAAATACAGCCGCTCTGCATTCTTTTGTCTAATCTAACATCTATATAAGCAAAGGGACTGCATTTCCTTTAATATGACATTAAAAGTTTCTAGTCCTCAAATTGAAGGGGTTATATCGGATGGGAGAGATGTTTTACTAATGTGTGATCCAGTAGATAATTTTCTTGTTAGTATAACAAATAGCTATAAATCTATACCATTTATTTCTTGTTCTACGATGTAAATACGCTGTTTCCACTAGACGGACACACTTAAGTCACCATCTGAGAGGATGAGCCAGTACTTCTGCTGGGGCAGTCGGTTTGGGATTCCCTCAGCGGCAAACCACGAGTTCTCAACAGGCCTATCAGTTATCCCCTTTATAATGGCATGATTTTTACTTGGGAAGCCTTCAGTGCACATAATTTGAATGGGGTGTTTGGTTCGCCAAGCATTTCTGAGGGTGACCAACCGGCAAGGTCACGACGAACATCCAAGCCACAAGGCCTCGTTGTGCTTCACCGCCATGGGGCACCCAATCTTCAGCATCTGCGCCTGCGCCACATCCAGCAGCTCCTGAAGTTGCGAAGCTTAGGCAAACCAGATGCGCAATCAAAACCTGCCGTGTGTCTGGCGCATTCGATATTCTGTGAACACCTGACAAACATTCAAGGAGGCTACCAAACACTTAATCAAAAGGGCGGTGGCAGCCGTTCATGGTGGGGACTGAGATTCAGCACGCACCGCACAAGTCATCCCCGTGCAAAACTATTCATGGAACCTATCCGTTACCCAGCAACCAACACGCAGCTTTGTGCAAGTGCACAGAACATGCTTTTTGTTTGTTGCTCTTTACACGAGCGAAACTGCGACTGGCCGGATGCACGAGGCCCCACAAGTTAGCCGTTTGATGCTCGCACAAGCTGTTCAGTAGTCTTCCAGCGCTTACACCGTAACAAACATCTTTTTAGACAAGGGCGAGGCAGATTTTGTGTTGGCGCTCAACAGGACAACTGATCACGTATTGCATTTCAGTGGCTGTTTTTGGTGGTGTCTATGTTTCCCTGTTGTTGTACAACCCACGATGAATATGAACAACTCGGGATTCAGAGAACCAGAACCACGCGAGAAAAGGGCCTGAGGATGGGACCATGTGAGTGTGCACAACTTGATGCAGAAGGGAGCATGTCTTCCTTGTAAAAGACCAATGCACACTATATGTGTTCGTAGTCACATATGCACCCACATGTGTACACATGCTCAAAGTGTCATTGCTGGTACAAAATCCAACTACAGTACCTGCATCATCAAAAACAGCGGATTCCCCTTGTAGGTGACCCGGCCCTTTTCCGACCTGCAAGCCAAGAACAACATCACATGTCAAACTGAGGCTGAAGCAGCATTCTCCGCATATGGCACCAAAGAGATCCATCCCAAACTGGAAAATCGTTGCTCTCTTGGCAATGAGAAAGAAAATGACAATCCCCTCAGACAACCATCTCAATTGGCATGACTCCCCAGTACCAGATCGAAATCCAAACCATAGGGGTTTCTAATTGGATGTCTACCATCACCAACCACCACTCAAATGCCCAGTGGCAATGGGGGGAAAAGGGCACCCTTTCTGCTATTGGTTGAGTTTCAAGGGGAACCCTTACCCAAAAAAAGGAAAAAGGGCACCACTGGGCAACAGAGCTGTCATTGTACATCCACAGCAAGGAAGAAGGGAAGAAGTTGAGTCAGGTCAAGCTTTTTTCCGGGTGCGTGCGTCCTGAACCTTGCCCGGAATGGGCTGGAAGTAGTTCAGGTCCCCCTGCTGATGCCTGGTGGGCAGCTTCCCAAAGAGCGTGCGCCCGCAGTTCACCAGGTCCGGCCGGGCCTGACCCAGGGGGCCCAAGGGGCTTCAAGGATGAGATGGGCGCAACGCGGTGGTTCTTGCGTTTGGGGAAAATCATGCCCCCCATACCACATATATATATAGTGCCTATGCAAGGGGTCGTTATATTTCTCACCCAAACAGCAAGCACGCTTGAAGTTGGAAATTCCTTGGACTGCGTCATACTTCCGGAAGGAACCACGCAAAAACATTAGGGCCCCTCAACAAGTCAATCACGTTCCGGTTTCTGGGGAAAACACTGCCTCTAAAACCTCAAAACATCTTACTGTTTGTTCAATTATGCCAACATGCAAGCACGAGCATACAAACCGCATGACATTTTAGGGGTAGGTACCTGCTCCTTGGGCATATCGTCCAATTTCTTTGCGCAGTTGGTGGCACGTGCCATCGGATCACCAGTTGCAAGAGTACGACCAGTCACGCAGGCCTTGTAATGCTCCGCGGAGATCACAAAGAATTCTTGCCTTGGCTCAACGGCTCTGGATGTGCTACCCCTTGGCTCAACGGCTCTGGATGCCCACTGAGTGGCTTGTAAGCATGGTTGCAAGTGGGGCAACAAGTGGGGTGGTCATTAATACAGGAAAAGGAAGCGTTGAACGTTGGGAGGGAAGCCGGGCCTTCGAAGCGTATGGCAATATGAACTTGGCTTGTCAGTCTACAGCGCGCCCATTGCCTCTCAAACAAAGTCCGTGACCCGCCTCACTGCAACGCCGGACCCTCGTCTCAGCAGCACCTTTTGGGGCAAGGGAGTGTTTGGACAGAACGGCACCCAACAAATCGCCAACGGCCCTTCCCGGGTCGAGTGCCCCTTTGCCCCCGATGCCAGGCATTGGGTGTCCCAAGCAGCTGAACAGCCAAGCTGCTCCCAGCCCAAATAACTGAACATGGTCTTCGCATCTGTGATGCCGATCGTCTTCAGAAGCCGCAGCCCTGAACTGGACACCTAAGAGGTCGGTCGAGCCATCCCCTAATCACCCCCTCACCTTCTAATGGGAACTCAACGGATTGATGAACTCGTCGATTCAGAGAAGGGCAATGTCCCATTCCAGAGATCTATCGCTTTCGGTTGCGCTCAATCCGGGGTCAACATTCGCTAGAAGGGGGGAAACAAGCAAGCAAAAAAACAAGCAAACAAGCAACCAAACAAGCAGCAACAAAAACAAACAAGCAAGCAAACAAGCCAAAACAAGCCGAAACAAACAAAACCAAATTAAACCAAACCAAGCCATACAGCATATTGATATGTGTATATATATATATAGTTCTATGTTGGCTAGATCCAATCCGCATGCTCATATAATGGATCAAAACCTGTACGGGTGACCGCGGGCGGGATGCACGTGCGTACGGACTTATGTACGGAGACGCGCGCGGGTGGGCGGACGCATGTGCTGCGCACGCGCATGACCATAAACAAAAGGCCTTATTTCCAAGAAATGGTCATATTCTAAAAAAATAGGGCCTTACATTTTCAAGAATATAGGCCTAATTTTGCGGGCGGTACGTACGCCTGTACGCCCGTAGCATGCCTGTGCGCACGCCTGCGCGCACGCCCACCTGCACGCTTGCAAACCCGCACGCCCGCCCACACGCACGCCCATACGTACGCACGCACACCCGTTCGCCCGCACGTACGCCCGTACGTGCACCCGTCCACCCGCACGCGCGCCCGCATGCACACACGTGGAAGCGGACATGTCCATGCCGGAGCAAATGCGGTGTCATTCTGCTTAGCATGCCAATTGAACAAAGCCAATATATATATATGTATATATATATATAATATACATACATGATTGGTGTGTCTCAACATGGGGGACCCCGCCAGTCTCATTGACCAGCCCAAGTACGTTCCCTGCACACAAGGGGGATCTCCACGCCACTACCACCTGGCGATTGAGGATTAACCTTGAACAATCCAGGCTACAGAGAACCAGAAAAAGTTGTTCCATCTCTGACCAAGTCGCTGCATCCATGGATCTCAGCAGTGGAGTCTTCTCGTCAATGCACTTGCCGAAGTGGGTCACAAAAGCGCAGGGGATGTACAAGCATCTGCGAAATCGGCCGAAGCGATCCCCCCAAAGAAGACCCGGTGTAAATGAGGGCACGGCTACTTCACCACTTGAGATCAAAGCAAATCATTGTGGCTCGTCAAAATGTCCATCATGGGCACTATGCAAATGTGACAAAACACTTTGACGGGCCCCCGCAAAAGCTCCTACTGCTTTTCCCCAGATAGCTGAAAGCTATAGGGGTTCTAACTTCTAATGAAGAAGCAAGATTGATTTGCGAGATTGAGGGCTGGGTGCTAGGCGGTATGCAGTTTGGGGTGCTGGTGGAGGTGCTGTTTTGCGAGCTTGACGGCTGGGTGCTAGGGGGTATGCAGTTTGGGGTGCTGGTGGAGGTGCTGTTTTGCGAGCTTGACGGCTGGGTGCTAGGGGGTATGCAGTTTGGGGTGCTGGTGGAGGTGCTGTTTTGCGAGCTTGACGGATGGGTGCTAGGGGGCATGCAGTTTGGGGTGCTGGTGGAGGTGCTGTTTTGCGAGCTTGACGGCTGGGTGCTAGGGGGCATGCAGTTTGGGGTGCTGGTGGGGTTGTCCCTGCTGCTGAAGTTCCTACCCTTGTTAAGGCAGTTATTAATCATGTCCTTAACACCGGCTACGTGGAGGTGCTGTTTTGCAAGCTTGACGGCTGGGTGCTAGGGGGCATGCAGTTTGGGGCGCTGGTGGAGGTGCTGTTTTGCGAGCTCGACGGCTGGGTGCTAGGGGGCATGCAGTTTGGGGTGCTGGTGGAGGTGTGCCGCTTTACAAGATTGACAGCCGAGTGCTAGGGGGCATGTAGTTTTGGGTGCTGGTGGAGGTGCCGTGGTGCCAGGGGGCATGCAGTTTGGGGTGCTGGACGGCCGAGTGCTAGGGGGCATGTAGTCCTGGTGAATGTAGTTTGCTGTTTGATTGAGGTGCTGGTGATGGTGCATGCGCATGTGCTGATGCAGGTGCTGTTTTGGGGTACTGTTTGGGGTGCTGTTTGCGGTTCTGGTGACGTTGTGGGCGCAGTTGTGCGAGATTGCCGGCGGGTGCTAGGGGGTATGCAGTTTGGGGTGGTGCTGCTGACCAACTTTCCAGACAACTGAAAGCCATTCTAACTTGTAATGAAGAAGGGGAATCGTTTTGTGAGATCGACGGCTGGGAGCTAGGGCATGCACTTTGGGGTACTGGCGCTGGTGCTCAGTTGGGGTGCTGTTGGGGCTGCTGTCTTGAGATGTTGGTGATGGTGCGGGCGCATATGGACGGCAGGGTATCGTGGTTGTGGCATCATCATGATGCTGTCCGTAGCACCATGATGCTGTTGAACCGATTCGGACGTTGTTGCTGCTCTAAATGTCGTGAGCAATGGTTCGTGGTTCGTGGCTGGTGTATCATCATGATGTTGTCAACCATTATGGTTCGCGGGTGTGGTGGCGCCATGATGCTGTCAACATCAGGATGATGCTGAATGATTCGTGGCCGTGGTCTCATCATGATGCTGCCTTTGCCGCCATCACCATGATGCTGTTAGCACCACCATGATGCTATCCGCATCATGGTGATGCTGCCTGCACATCATCATCATCATCATCATGCTGTCGCACTCATCAGGACGTCGTCTCTGCCTTTTGTCTGCTAGATATGTAGCGCGGAATCGTTCGTGGCTGGAGCATCAGTGTGAGGCTGTCAACATCACCATTATGCTGCTGAACTCATTAGGACGTTGTCTGCGCGCGTCTATTTAGCGCACCATGCTGAGTGGCTGTGGCATCATCATGATGCCGTCAACATCATCATGATGCTGTCAGCATCATCATGATGCCGATGGAACCATTATGATGCTGCGTCATGGGTCGTAGCCGTCTTGTGCTATCTGGGGTCTATGCTTGTGTAATTTGTTTAAAGATGAAGCCCTGGCGGCAAAAGCTAGTAATCAGCCACAGGAATCAGCCAGAGGGAGGCTAAGCCTGAGCCGACAGGGTCTAGGTGCTGGAAGTGGATTTGGTGCAAACACATGCTCATTTCATCCGTCATGATCTGCACCTAAAACGCTAAATGGGTGGAAATTTAAGATCAGTTTGTGGGAGGAACAAACAAAACTGAACAATGCGCTAGCTGATCATGACTCCCGGTACACATGGAGGGGTTATTTGAAAAAAGCAAATACGCTCTTGAACAACAAATCAGTGATTTACCACAACACCACATCAAGACCTCATGTTGTTCGCAAATGGAGAGACTCGAACGTACCATAAGACTTGTGATCCTGAGGTGTATTGAGGTCGTGGTACTCATTTCTCCCATGAAGTCTTGCAGGATTCACTTGGTTGAATGCTAAGCAGCTTGCTGTAAGCAACTTAGAGCACCAGCTGCGCCTAAAAACATCATAAGCAAAAGAAACACATATGCGTTTGTTCAGTGACGAAATACAACATCCATCCGTTGCCTTTCGCCTATCTTGACGATAAGCTGCAACACATTGCGGCATGCTGACATGCACACACACACACACACGAGGCTAAGCAATCCAACGCGTCTCGCAGCAACGAGGACACCATTCAACCTTGGAGGCTGCCTCCCTCAGCAGCCTGACTAACCGGAGTAAACTAGGTGGGTCTTTGCCATGTAAAAAATGGTCCGCGGGGAAGCCGCCATTTTCCAAAATACACAGTTCCAAGGTCACACCACCAAAAAGCAATCATATTCCCTAACATTGGTATTAGAACTCCTAAGTCCGAAGTATCTAACATTCACCCGGAGCCCGATCAACGGCCTACCGGTAGCTGTGCGCAGTACATGCTCAGGATTCTGTAAGGGAAGCCAGTATCTGATGGCCGCCCTTTGGAAGCCTCGAAAGCGACCTGCAGCCACACTGCGTTGTTGAAAGCTCAAAGAGTTGACACCCAAGCGTTGGAAAAAGAATGCCCAGGAAACAAACCCAAAAGGCAAGCCTTCTCCAAAGCAGGACGCCTGTGCCCGTTTGACCTGATATAACTGCTACAGACGCTCGTCAGCGTCTGGGAAGTTCGTGTACCAGACCCGATTGAGTCCGTTGAGTACCCTTTTTGGGCTGGCTTTAAGGAAAGGGCTTTCGACCCTTTGGTGGACATCATTTGGGTGGGAATTTATGAAAATGGGCAGGTATTTCCCATGACAAGTCATAAATATACATGTATATATATATATATATAAATATGTGCAACTCCCCTCCCAACAAAACACACCATACATACATACATACATACATACATACATATATATATATATATTATAATAGATATATATATATATATATATATTCGGAAGCTTGGACACCTCCCCGCCTGTCCATGACGAAAGGAGGGGATGCGCGGTCCCAGGTGGTGAAGGCGGCCGCAGAGTGCGTCACTCGCAGTCCGCCGTTGGGGAAGGAGGACCCATCCGTCTCCCCTTGGAAGAGGCGCTCATGGGGAAGGCAGGCCTCACAAGCAGATTCCTCGAAAACCGCTCCACCATTGATTGATACCCTCCTGGTTCAGGGGAATTGAAGGGTGGTTTGGATGGGGTTGGGATTTGAACCTCTGGCTTTTTGGTGGTGGGTGACCCTTATTTGGTGGTTTGGACTCAAATGCTGTCTTGCAAAGACAAAATAATCAAAGCATTTCACTGACAAGACCTCATGTGAAAAGGCCTGAATGGCTATTCAAGTATTGGATTGGATTGGTTTCTGATTTGAACCTCTGGCTTTTGTAGACGGTAAATGGGAAACCACCTCCTTGACCACCAAACCACCAATGGGAAGCTGACTGGTTGATTCATTAGGGGCCACAATCCTTCACTTTTGGGGGGAAGCCTTTAATC